TGCCATCAGTATCTGAGTGCCACATCTTGTTCCTCAGGAACAAGCTCCTGTTTTCTAGAACCACATGAACTCTTGACGCCTGGACTTGTGTGTGCACACCAGCAGGCGCGGCTGGAATGGGGACAGAACATGAGCAAGTGCAGGCAGCTCTCTTCTTTGCAAGGAGACTTCACAAGGCTTCTTCTCTGTCCCCTTCCTCAGGAGGAACAGTGCCTGGTTTGTCCAGGCATGGCCACTCTTGTGTATTTGAGATGAGTATAAGCATTGCCAGGATGGGTAGGTCAGCTTCTGATTTATATGTAGTAGCTTTTCCTGCCAGTTTTCAAAGGGTGGGCAGGACATGTGGGAACCCACCTCTTTCTGCAGCAGGCCTATATGTCCCACAGATGTTGGCTCACCCCTCAACTTCTGAGTCCCCACAAATGAGTCACTGTCAAGGGCACATAAACACTCATTTATTCATAGCACTTTCATACATGGTAGCAACGTTTCTCAAAGTTGAGAACTTAAGTCCCCCCAAGTTATGCCTGCAGACCTATAGGGGATGCCAGGCATAGTTTGAGAAATCCATTAAATTAAATTTTCTTTCACTGGAGGTGACCAGTCAGCACTAACAACATTGTCAACACAGAGAAACTCAGACCCTGAAACCAGATGGCACCACTTGGCTATAAGGTATTTATCCCCACATGGATAATGTACTTATGGTGATTTTTATTTTATTTTTAAAGTTGTTGCAGTGAAACAAAAACTCCTTTTGGAACTCACACCCCCTCCCCTGGACTTTCAGGGATTTGTAGACACCATTTTGAGGAACACTGCTGTGAAAGAGTCTTTCCCCTAAAAAGCAAGACCTCCATCTAAGGGAAGAGCAGAAGCTGTACTCTGCTTGGAGTCCCTGGGTGGTGCAACAATTAACAAGCTTAGCTGCTGTGAGGTGTGGAACCCATTTGCACTAAACAATTTGGCCTTTGGTCCTGGTTCCTGAGAGCCTGACCACACCTGAGACTGATGAGTGGGGGCTGACCAGACCAGAGGAAACACCTGGGAGCCCTGATGCCGACTAAGCCTCAGAAAGCCACGTGTTGAGGCCAACAAAGGCTTGGAAGGTGGAGCCTCACTGGAGCTTCCAAGTTGGAGAGTAGACATCTGCTCTCGAGGGGGTAAGCTCTGTGCTGAGGCCCCTCCCGCACCTCCCCTTTGTGTTTGCATCCTTTTCCCCTCTAGATTAAAGACAGCCCTTTCCCTGCAGTTTGTGAGTTGTTCCAGCGGATTATGGAACCTAAGAAATAGAGAAGGGACTGGTACTGGTTGACGTGGCCTCCAGTGAATGGGGAGAGAGAAGGCACCGGTACCCCTTGACCTAGCCGTGGGTGAATGGGATGAGAAAGGGCTGCCTGGAGCAGCTGGTGTCTGAACTGACCAGGGAAGGGAAACTGAGATTCCATGGACTGGTTTGACACCGATTTGCCACTGCTGCTAACTGAGAGGTTAGAGGTTCGCGTCCACCCAGAGAGTCACTTCAGAAGAAAGGCCTGGTGATCTACTTCAGAAAAACCAGTCATTGAAAACCCTATGGAACACAGTTCTACTGTGACACATGGGGCTGCCATGAGTCGGAATTGACTTGATCGCAACTGCGTAGCCTGCTTGGGCTAAGACTCGCATAGCAGGGTCAGACTAAGCAAGGGCAGTCCATGTGACCACGCAGCTCTGAGCTGGGAGGGCCTTGGCTGCCCTCCTCCCAGGCCCATCTGATTTATGACTCTAATAATCATCTTCGACATCCCATTCCTGCTCATGCTACCACAGCAGACTGATTTAGAATTTCCATTGGTTTTGATCTTGACATCTGGCCAGGGGCCCATCTACAGAAAATAGCACCTATGGCAGTTAGTTTTAAATTGCTGAATGATCTCACAGCTGGCAATGGTAACTCAAATGGCCAACAGAAATTACTCATTAGCGCACCTCTTCAAGCAGCACCCAGGGCACATGCCCTTACCTGCCATACCTTAGTTACGTCTCTGCGTCTGGGACCATATTAAATGAAAGTCCCAAAGATACTTGGGGAAGAGGGCATATAGGCCTGATTTGAATTCCTTTCTTTTTTTATGTAAATGGATGCAAGAAGCTCATTGGAGCAGCCGTGAATTTACTGTTTTCCTTCTGAAAAGTGTACAGATGGGGAGAATGGGAGTCTGGAGGAAAGCACAGATGGAGAAGCCTTTTCATTTTGATTTGTCACTGAGCAGACACCTGCAGTGACTGAGGGTGTCAAGACGCAGACGCAAACACAGGGAGGATCATACAGAGCATGGTGGGAGTGTTTCTACAGGGGTCAGAGGCATGAGGATACACAGCAGGGGTGGCTGGGAATTCCAGCCCAAGTTCCAGAGAGGGTTGAAGACCCAGTGATGTTTCCAGATGACTGGCACACGCTGCTCCTGCCACCCTTCACACTTAAGGAATGAGTCACGTCTCTGTGCTCGATTTGCCAAGCAGGTGTTTGTCAAGCTTCTGACAGAGCTCTTTGAAATTTGTGCGGGGCTTGATCAGTTGCATGATTCTGTACTATTGCTTTATTTGAAATTAGTTTCCTTTCCTATCATTTTTTGCAAAATAGTAGCCTTTGTGATCAGGTGACACCTAAATGTAGACATTCTAACTTTGCTTTTGTAGGTTCTCATTATTGAAAATTTTGTAGTGTTCTGAGCACAAACACACATTTATGGAGTCCTGTTTTGAAAGCATCTGCTGATCTGCTGGTCACATTTGTTTTCAGCCAAAACAGTTTCTCAGGACCACCTCAGGTTGGTGTCCTCAGGACAAAGCGATACAACTGTGTAATCAGATTCTTTCTTTGGTCACTAGATTGTTAGTAAAGTATTTGAAATCTTAGGCCTTTTAGCTACATGAAACTGGATTAATTGCTTGAGTTTAGATGCCAATGGTATGTTTGAAATGTACACAAGGATTGGTTTTGGCTCTGCATTTTTAGAGGATTGGTGGGTTACTTGCAGCCTACTCACTCCACCTACTGGTGATAACGCGCTTGGGGATACACCAGCTGGCCTTGTACTAGAGGGACCATTGGCTGCCTCAGTTGGGGAGCCTAAGGCAGTAGACCGTGTGTGGCCCACACTTTGCTGCTGCCCTTATTCAGGTGTGCTGGTCTCATCCTTCCTCGAGCAGAACAGGAAGAACCCAGTTTCCTTAGACTCATGGGCTGCCAGAACCCACCTCAGCCCTCCTCTGCTGCCGCTGCTGTGCGTTGAAGCCTGTGGAGCAGTTGGGAAGGGACCTGCAACCCTGTTTGGCTGGGGATCCCCCCCTTTTCCCCACTCCATCTCATAGGGGAAGAAGACAGTCCACCCATCCCTTTTGGGTCTGAGTTCTCAGTAAACTCCAATGCAGAGTTTTTTTAATAATAAAAGAACCTGCTTCTAGAACCACCTCTAGAACTAGAAGGCAGGACTTAATCAGACGAGTAAACAAGGCAGGCATTCAGGACTCTGTATGTGAAAATCCAGCTACTTCTGGACCATTGCAGCAGGCAGGTGGGAAGGAAGGGGAGCCTGTTGCCTGCAGCTTCTGCCAGCACTGCCCAAATGACCAACCACCACCCCAGTCCAGATGTGTATAGGGCATCATTTCCAGCAGTCGGGTCTGTGAGGGGCTGTCAAATACGTAGAGCAGAGATGACTTAACTTCCATATTCCCACTGGACATCCTCCCTGTGACCTAATTCTGGGTGCTGGTAGCTGAAGAAACTTAAATGGTGTTGACATAGGAGCTGGTTAAGGCTGAATGGCCAGTGTTGGTTCAGTGGACGTTGTATCACACCCTCCCACAAGCCATCTCCTGGTGTTCCTGCTGGGGGCAGATCACCGGGTGGGATGAACCATGGGCTGAGCTATGTGGTATGTCCACATTGTCATCAGATGCAAGAGAAGCACAGTGGGGAGCATGAGGCGGTGCAGGGGGAGCAAGTCTCAAAGCGTCACCTGCCAGTGTTGTAAGGAAATAGACACATTGCCGTGAAGCTTAACACTATGGAGGAAGATGTTAGAAGCAGCAGTGTGAAATCAATGCTATTATCCATTCAGAGATGGTGGCCAGGGTAACGCCCGTGCCTGTGTGCTCACTTCCCACAGACTTGTGGCAAAGACCCCACCCCCAGGAGTGCTCCCTCTGAGGCTACTTCCTGTTATGGTCTGAGGTTCCTGGGTGTCTTGCTCTTCATTTTCTTCTTCCTTTCAATTCTATTACTCTTTACACGGTAACTAACTCCAAGAAATTTAATTTTTGAATCATAACTCCAAGACCTCCTGTTTGAAGGATAGTTTCAATTTATTAATGAACCAGAGACAACAGCACAAAATGACCAAGAAGGGCCAAGAAAGAGGGATAGGGGTTCATTCTGCCTGACTCTCCCATGTATACCAGAATAAACCCTCCCTCTGCCTCACGGTGGTGCCTCTGAGACCAGGAAGGTCAGTCTTGTAGCAAGGGCACAGTGCTTTTCCGCTTTTGTGTTATTGGCGGGGGAGGGGGGGACTCCCCCACCCTCGTGCCCCCATGGGGAGTTTCCCTCTGCAGGATCATAAACCTGCACATCCGAAACTATAAAACAGGGCTCTTGAAAAACAGCTTCCCGGTTTGCAGCTTTTTCATACCTTTAGATGTTTTCATTTTTATTTTGTCTGAAACAGCACATTTAGAGACAGATTGCAAACACAGCCCATTAGATACTATTGTTCTTTTCTTCTCTGCTGCATAATAGACTAGATCCAGGTTTGTCCAGCTTACACTTAGAAAATAGAAGCCCTCACATGAGAGTTTTCAAAGCATGAACATACATTATGTTATCTGACCCTCACAACAGCCCTGTGAGGTAGGCAGGGCAGGCATCCTGCTTCCAGGATCCAGAGGACAGGGCTGTAACTGGGGGAGCTGAGTCCTCTGACTCCTGGTCCAGTGCTTCTTCCACTCCACAAGATGAGCTGGTGAACTGACTTTACCGTAATGAACAGAGCAGCCTTTCTGCTTAAAATAGATTAAATGGTCTTTGAGCTTGCAAACAAAGGGGATTTTAAGTACAGACTTCATCAGGGAGCTCAGAGAATAAACACACCTGAACTCAGCATCAGAGGGGTGAATAGGACAGAACATTGACATCTTCCAGAAGGGTTTCTTCTTGTTTTCTGGATTCTGTCCCAGACCACAGTGGGTGCTGTAACTTAAGAGCAGCAAAGTTCAGAAGGCAGGAAGGCATTCAAAGGACTTTCTCGTCTAGCAATTTATTGATTCCCTCACAGATCCTCTTGAGGTTGGGCCTACAGTCTCCATCCAGACTATAGAGGGTGGAGAGGAACTCCACATCAGCAAAGTGGTTGAAAACATGGTTGATGCGCCCATGTGTCCTGGGTGTCAGATGTCGCTGCACCAGTTCGTGCACCAGGTCCTTGCACTCGTGCAGAAGCTTGGAGAGCACGTTCCTATCAAAGGTATACTCTACCTCATAGAAGCTGACAACTGTCATGGCGGTCTGGTTCAGCTTCTTCCTGAACTTCTCCACGACAACCACCTCCTCCTGGCTGAACTGGTTGTTTCGGTAGAGGATCCCGATTTTGATGGCCACCTTGATTAAGTCTTTCATGATTTTGTGGGCTTCCTTCTTGTTGTGGGTGTGCTCTTTGGTGACTTTGTAGAGCTCATCAAAGATCTCACTGCTGGTGTCGTCAATCAACATGTTGGCCACAGTTTTGCTGGCTATTTTGCTCAGAATTTTCTTCTGGGCTTGAAGGGCAAGGCTCTTTGAACTAAAAACATCGGGACCTATGGTAAGGAAGGAAATAAAAGTTATAGAAATATGAGAACTGTTTATTATGTTTTTGGCAAATGAAACACTTACTTGAACTTAAGTTCATAAGCAAACACGTAGGCCTTCATATCCTTCAACTCCCTAACTAAACCCCACCCCAGTGTCCTCGCCACATGCCACACCTGTTTCCACTTCCAAACCTTCTAAACTGGGCTTGTGCCCTTCCCTCTGCTGGTGGTGGAAGTTGTTTCCTCTTGTCCAAGCCAAATCTCACCTTTTCAGACCCACTTCATGCATAAAGCATTCTTGACTCTACTAGCTCGTAGAGAAATCCCTATGACTGCTCTTGCATTGGAAACAATTCAGTTTTGCAAATTATAAAGGAGCAGATTATTGCTTCGTGGCAAGAAGGAAGCACTAATGCCAGCCCCATTCACTTAGCAGACATGGTTATTGATCACGGCAATCTTTCTGACTGAGTCATAGCATTCATATAGTCTAAGATATGTTTTCACTTTTGACATCTTGGAAATTGGAATGTGTCCTACAGTCATTGTTGCCAGGTAGCAGTTGTGCTGCATTGTTTTAACCTGTGTGCACATCAGTTTGAGAGCAGGTGTCAGAGGTATGGGAGAAAAGCCAGGAGACAGCCATGGAGCACTCTCGTAAGAAATGTTGCCTCACCAGTGCTCCCGGTGACACACAAAATGGCACTGTGGAAAACACAGACACCAATGACTCTCAGTAAAAAATCCTTCAGAAGAGTTGGGCTCTGAAGCCTTAGGAAAATTGTAGCCAATTTATTTCGCTGATATTTTCCTCTTTGTGAATGAACGAGAGCAATATATATTAAAAAAATGAAAAAAACTATGTCTAAATATGTCTAAAACAGCTCTTTCAGTAAGTATAAAATAAAAATTCTAAGTAATAAAGCAATGGTTCATAACTTAATTGACAGCATTTTTTTTTCTTCCTTAACCAGGTGCCATAAAGTCAGCTCCAACTCATGGCAACCCTACTACATGTGTCACCGTAGAACTGTGCTCTACAGGGTTTTCAATAGCTAATTTTTCAGAAGTAGGTCTCCAGGACTTTCTTCCAAAGCACCTCTGGGTGGACTCGAACTGCCAACCGTTTGGTTAGAAGCCGAGTGCGTTAACTGTTTGCATCACACAGGGACTCCTTTTTCTTTCTAAAGAACATACAAAATAATGGCATCCTACAACCAGTGGCATCTTTGATTTGATTAAATACTCCACAGAGTCACTGACTGGCTGGAGATGGCATCTGAGTTGAAACCCACCAACCATCCTGGACTTCAGGATGTAAATGTATTATTATTATCTTTTTAAGGAGATTCAAGTTGCCCAAGGACAGGCACAGTGTCTCCCACAGCACCCAGCTCAGTTCTGGGCATACGGATGGAATGGTATCTGCGAGTTATATCAGAGAAATATTTCAGTAGAACTATAAAGCAGTAAAATGCAGTGTGCACAAAATATATGCTAAGAAAATCTAATTTTCCTTAGATTTGAGGGTCCTCTGGGATCTCACAGAACCCTGGCATTGGTTACAGTCCCGGTCAATGTTCCATGGCCACACGGAAGTGGCAGATGTGATGGGCAGTTAGCATGGACAGATGGCCAGATACACCGGCTTCTGCTCCCCTTGTTCTGGCCCCGCCCCATATGGTATCCCACCCCTCTGCCCACCCTAGACCCACTCCCTCCGTGGACAGTGATTAATCACCGGACACTCAGGCCTTGCAGACATAGACTCAATGAACACTCAATTTAAACACAGGCCTGGCAGTCCTTCCAGGCGCCTATCCCCTCACACACAGGCCCAGCACAGCCACTTCAGCTGCGGGGCTTCCCAAGTCAGCAACTTCTGCTCTAGGGCCTCTTCTGGCCACTGGTCCCTAAGGGGCATGGTCTGGAGTAGAGTGGCTGCAGTGGGATCAGCAGAACTGAAGCAGTGGGCACCATGGCCCCCTGCCCACGACTCCAGGAAGCACTCTCCCCCAAGTTAGAGCCCATAGACTCTCCAACTTCCCAGCCAGGTAACCCTGGCGTGGCTGGGATTTTCCCTTCAGCCTCAGTGCAAAGAGAACAAACACTTGTGTATGACAGACAAGGAACTAACGGTATCTTTCTGTCTTGTCTTTACTATGAAAAAGCCCCAGCTTCCTGACTGACACACTTCCAGAGTCTGAGAGATACTACTGCCCAATTTGATCACTGACCACAGTCACCAGACCTTGCTGTGAATGACCTGTGCTCCAAAAACGTCAAATTTGCCTTCCAAAGACAAATATTTGCAAGCATAAAGGATGTGCAAAGATTGTGCTATATGCTTTGAAGTCAATTCCAAAGCAGAAGCTTAAAGATTTCTGAGTGATGGCTCTGCCCCTGACATAACTGCATGCCTCCTCCACGATTGTTTTGATGGGAACAATGCAATCAAGATGTGTCTGTTTTGGAATATCAAAAAATGAGTCATTTTTTTGTAGTCACAGTTCCTGAAATCTGTTAGAGAATAAAGTATTTTTAAAGGCTCTCTAGAAAGGCAGCAGACATGCACTTACACAGGAGCAATGGCTCTCCTGGGTGGTGCAAACAGTTAATGTGCTTGGCTCTAACTGAAAGGTTGGAAGTTCGAGTCCACCCAGAAGTGCCTCAGAAGAAAGGCCTGGTGATCTACTTTGGAAAAATCAGCCATTGAAAACCCTATGGAGCAGTTCTACTCTGAGGCACATGGGTCGCCTTGAGTCAGAATCAACTCGATGGACACTGGTCATTCTACTTCACCCACAGAGCTTTAACTTAATTTTTTTTTTTTTTAAACTGTGAAAATATATATAACAAAACATGCCAACTCAGCAATTTTTACATGTTCAATTCAGTGACATTGATTACATTCTTTAAGTTGTACAACCATTCTTGCTTTTTCCAAACTATTCTACCACCAGTAACGTAAACTCAATGCCCCTAAGCAAGAACTCTCCTTTTCCCCCTTACTCCCACTCCTGGTAACCACTAATAACCTTTGGTTTCTATATACTTCCTTATTTCATATAAGTGAGATCATACAACGTTTGTCCCTTTGCGACTGACTTATTTCACTCAGCATGATGTTTTCAAGGTTCATCCATGTTGTGGCATGCATCAGGACTTCCTTTCTCTTTATCACTAAGTAGTATTCCATTATGTGTATATACCACATTTTGTTTATCCATTCATCAGCTGATAAACATTTTTGTTGTCTCCACCTTTTAATTACTGTGAAAAGTGCTTCAGTGAACATGCGTGTACAGGTTTTTGTTTGCGTTCCTTCCTTCACTTCCTCTGGGTGGATACCTAGGATTGGGATTGCTAGATCATATGGTAATTTATGTTCAACTTTTTGAGAAAGCACCGAACTATTCTCCGCAGTGGCTTACCATTTTATATTCCTACCAGCAATGGATGAGGTCACTTCATAATTCCATACAACTAAAGGATGCATACAAACTGAAGTTTAAATGAAAAGAATATTCCAGTGACCATAAAACTCCAAGCATTAAAAAATTTCTTCTGGGTATGATTATAATTTTGATAAATACTAAACATAAAAAGTGTTATTGGAAATGCATCTCTTAATAGGATGGGTAGAAGTGAGTTATGGCGCATTAATTAAAGGAGGTTTTACCAACACCAGAGTTTCACATGGTCCCTTTGTTTGGCCAGGGAGGTTCTGTACCTCAGGGTAATACATCACATTAAAATTCTCTATGATGAGAGCTCCATGATGGAAACAGGGAAAAGAAGGGAGATGCACGATGCCTTGACCTCAGGTTTCTTCTAAAGCAGATAAGTTACAGGAAAAAGTATGTACTGAAGTTGAAGAAAGCAATTTGGATCTATAAAGCAGTCCCCTCAAAACTCTCACGTCTGCGTATCTCATGGAAAATCTGGGCTCTCAGACGTGCACACACCAGTTACCATGCAGCTCTCCTGGGAAAGCGCACATTACCAGAGGTGTTAATAGGTGTCCAAGAGGGGAGCTCCTGGGTCAAATACGTAAGTTTGGAAAACAGTGGGTTAAGCAAAGTTAAACGTTTTTTTTTTTTTGTGAGACTTTCAAAATGTATCTTTAATACATTAAGATGTTTTGTAGTCTTCCAGAGAGGAGTGGGTAGAGTATGATGTAACGTTTCCCAACTTAATCTGATCAGGAATTCAACGTTTGTCTCCTGAGTATGGTGACCAACTGTCCCGGTATGCCCAGGGCTGAGGAGTTTTTAAGACAGGGGACCTGAAGTACTAAAATCAGAAACGTCCCAGGCAAGTCAGAACAAGTTGGTTACCCTACTCCTGAGCCGCTAGTAATGTGTGTATCATTGACCTAAAAAATGAAGAACAGAGAAGCAACAAAAAAATTGAAAGGATAGAAGAAAACGATACATACCTAAAGTTTAAGATGCTATCGCTTCAACAGGTAAGCTGTACGCCTGTGTTGCCACATTTACCACCCACTCTACCTGCTTTTTAATCCTAGAGTTAACCCCTCAGTCCCTTTTGTCTCTTGTTTTTCTCTGCAGTTATGGAGCATTTAACTATTAGTTTGGCTTGTATGAAGTGCTATGGGGAAATCCCAAAAAAGTATTCACTTGGGTCCTACTCTGAGAGAACATATGGGTCCTGCAAGGAGGCAAGCAGTAGACAAATGAGACAAAATACAAAAACATACAAAACATCCCAAATTGGCATGAGTGAGAACAGCGGGGTGAGAAGCTCCAGGGGCTCTGAAGGTGGGCTTGAGTGTGGACAGATGGGAGTGGCCAGGATGTTGGGAAGTGGTTTCTACCGTCATGGGTACAGGCCAGTAATTTCCCCCAAGCCACAAAGGCCCTGGGTGTTTTCCCTATTAAGTTTCCAGCCACCTCTCTTGTATAATAATATGCTGTTTACCTACAACGGGACTTGTGGTCCAGGTGTCTATACTGAGGTCACAGGTATAGCATCTCTGAAAC